GTCATCAGTTTTACTAGTTGTCCACTAAGTAGTTATTTTTGACCCAAGATACGGTAGCTCATGAGATATAAACTAAATTCCCAGCAAAGGTCTCAGAGCAAATCACCTGAATGTCCTTGCCATGAACAAACACTGAAGTGGTATATACTGTTTTTCTGCTTAAGGACCCAGTCCTGCAAATTACTGAGCATTCAGAACTCCACTGAGGTCAGTAGGATTTGAGGGTTCTGTGCACCTTGGAGCATCAGACCCACTGGGAGCTGAGGATGCTTAGCAGTGCACAAGAGGTGCTCGTCCTGTGCAGTATTGGACCCTAAGAGAGACTGTAAATAGTATGTTAACTATGTAAATAACCGATAACCGCCGTATTTATTGCTGTCTGTCTAAAGCACACACATTCTTTGTAGTAGTCTCTTATTTTATTTATTATTATCAGATCCTTATTTGGTTTAACGTACTGAGTATTTAGTGTGTGTAAATATGATTTTATTATAAAAATTATATGTGAGTATATATAATTATTAATATTCTTCGTATTACCATAGCACCTACGAGCCCTACTCCTAAGCTGTTCAAGCCTTTGTTGCAATTGTGAGCTAACACACCTGAATGAAATAAACTTCAAAGTTCCATGGCATTGAAGCCGTTTGGCGCCTGTGCCTCCTGGACATGTGAGAAGCACCACCCATATACCCACACACCAGCTTGGCACTGTATGCCACGGTGCATCAAACAGCATCCTCGTGTCTGCCTCCTGCAGGGAAAATAAGCAAATTATTTAGTATGGCAACATCACCCAAATATTAAACCAGGTTAAATGTGGAAAATGGGCAAGGAGCTATGAAAGAAAAACAAGTGTATAAAAAAAGCCTTCCCTCACCCCAAAACGACTGCAGTAATTTATCAGTCAAAGTCTGTAAAAATTGACTTCAATGTTTCCTTTGAATCCACCTTTTGAAAACTGCATTTAGTTTACAGGCTTTCATCTTTTGATCAAATGTCATCACCTACTATATAAATAGGGTATTAAATACCCAAAAAAAAAAAAATCCTACTTTTAAATAACGACCAGGGTCTGTCATGAACTGACAAGAGCTCAGAAATGAAAAGATAACACTGACACTTCATCCTTAATTCATGTTGTGGGGAAAAGAGGCACATTGAGGCTAATAAAAGATGGAGTGTCAACCTTATCTTTGAATGTCCTGGCTTTTCGTTCCAGCCTTGATATTATTTAAATGTAGCGGTGGTTTGGGTATTTTCTTACTGGTTCATTTGCGGTTTAGATAAAAATTTAGAGGAGAGATAATCATGTTTAACTGCTACAGAGCTGCCTGAACAGCAATGCTGTAATATTAACAGAGTTGACAGCGTTTGTTTCTCTATTATTTTAAAAGGTACATAACCCCTAATACATAATTTACAATCATATTTGATGTGAGCTGTAATACACAGAGAGAAGGACCATCTACAAGATGGAAATTACCATGGTTACAGCCCAAACATGTTTTGTTTTTCTTGCTTTTGAGGACAGAAAAAAACATGTTCAAGAACCGTGTATTAACCCTGATATAGGCTATAAATAGCTCCTTACCATGTTTTGCAGGTGGTTGTTTTGCTTTTTCTGCCCTGATAAGTAATAAGAGAGTGTGTTTATAACATAATCATGTTTCAGCCAACTTTAGTGGTTGTTGGTTATCTCTGTAGTGTTGACAGAACCACAGAGACAGTTGTACTTTATACACATTTCTCTTTTCAGCTTGACTGACAAAGTACTGTGTATCCCTAAGATAGCTTTGTATTATTGTCTGGAACAAATAGTTCACAAAAGTAGCAAAAAATATTGTACAGGCCGAGATGCACTGTTGTTTTCAAAAAACAAGATGGCCTGGGATGTTGTTAGCAGAGTTTAATGAAGCCCCACTTTGATATCACAATGTGCATTTTCCCCGTCCAACCCGGCATACTCAGTGTCTGCTGTTTTTCCTGAGCGTGGGATTGGGCATAGGCAGTAGCTACTGTTCTCAGGCCACTGTTAGTACAGTTTGCGTAAAAGCGATTGTAATTGTTTTAATTAAATACACACCACAAAATCCTCCCATAAAACTCTGACTTCATATCAAAGATGGTGTGAGAGAAAATAGCTGCTTTTAGAATCTATGCAATTTTGGCTGCATCAGCAATATTTTGCAAATAGTAATCTTTCTTTTTTCTGCTGTAAACCAATAAGGTCCTTCCCTATTAAATCAGCCTTGCAGAAAAGTATTTTCATCCATACAGTAGCAGCAGCAAATATAGGAATTAACCCCATTCACCTCAGCGACGTGTGAACACCAAAACCTAATTGGGACCATTGAAATGGTATCATTATTAAGTATGGGCTTTTTTTAATCTTTGTTCCTTTAAAAAGCTTAGAAAATGTAACATTGAGGAAAAACTGTTAATGTAACATTGGAGTTGCACAGAAATCACAAAGGGTAAATTTTCAAACCATCTACGTGATCTTCAAAAACAATTTAGGCACATAGAAGCCTAAAGCTCATTGAAAGTCACTAGTATTTAGGCGGGGAGGTATTTAGGCACCTAACTCGTATTGATTGATGGCCTAAATACCTTTTGAGGATCTGGGCCTAAGTCAGTTTTGAATATGGGACTTAGGCTCGTAAGTCACTTAGACATTTTTGAAAATGTTGCCCTTCGGCTTATTTGAAACTTTTAATCAAAATTAAGAAATGCAAAAGCTAAGATTATCCCAGCACTATTAGCTCAGCTATGTTGCACATGTGTATTTACCATTTCTGTTTTTCTGGTTAACTGGGTAGCATTATATGTTATGTATATAAAATGTTGAATGGTTTACTCAATCCATTTTCCATTTTAATGCAGCATTTTGAGTTGGCGTAGAATGCCTTCATAATGTTGATTAATTTTGTTGGAATTCCATATTGTTTCACAATTTTCCACATTGTTTCTCTATTTACACTATCGAATGCCTTTTGAAAGTCCACAAAATTGATGGCAAGACTGCCTTGGAATTCAACTGTGGTTTCAATAATCCGACTCAGGGTGAAAATAGCGTTTGTGCACGATCTGCCTTGTCTAAATCCAGATTGTTGTTCACGTAGGATGGTATCCATCTTTCCTTTCATTCTGTTCAGGAGGACTGCTGCTAATACTTTTCCTGTGACAGATAGAAGTGTTACTCCCCTCCAATTTGAATAATTGTTTAGATCACCTTTCTTTAGTAACTTGATTATGATATCGAGGGTCCATTCTTCCAGCACTTTCTCCTCCATCCATATTTTGTTGCATTTCATCACAAATGTCTGAGAAGAATATTGGGAATAACATATAGAGATAGGAAGACAAATGAAGAAGTCAGAAAAATTTCTGGACAAGGCACCCTCTCACAAATAATCTACAAAAGAAGACATTAGTGGCTGGGACATATGCTGAGAATGGAAAAAGAACGCTTACCAAATACCGCCCTTGAATGGAAGCCAGAAAATGCAAGAAAAGAGGAAGACCGCGAATAACATGGAAACGAATAGTTCTGAACGACATCAAGCACCTCAACATGAAATGGGAAGATTTGGAGAGAAGGGCAGTTGACAGTTGACAGGCAAGGATGGCAAATGTGGATAGCCCAATGTGCAGCAAAGCACGGGACGGACTAAGGTCTAAGGTAATATAAAATGTATTTTGTGCCATAAGGCTTATTGTATGGGCAACATGGCCAAGTTAAAATTGCTATTGGAACTTTAACTTTTGCAGTTTCTTACATACTGTGAGTTTAACTGTTCTGCCATAATGCTGGATTAATGCAACTGTTTGAATCGAATACGTATATATAGTCTCTTCTTTAGAAAAGTACATATAATTCCAATTGACAGTAATGGGAATTCTGTGCATTCAAAGAGAATAAATCCCTTACAGCCAAATTCTGCCCTTGGATACATGCACATAGCTGACTACGGTATATGTGGACTATGGGCATATTATTTCTGATTTGTGTTTTTAAGTATGGTTGGCCTACATTTCTGCAGAACTCAGAAAAATTGCTTTGGAACAATGAAGATGGTTTCTTGACATGATGCAATATGTGCCTGAAATTTTTTCTTGTAGTCAATATAATCTGTTAAAAAATCCAATATACTGTGACATAAAATCAAACTAAAGCATAAAGTGAAAAGCTAAATGAGCAAAAGCCATCCTGCCTTCCTTTCCATGAGGTATTACAATGGTAAGTAATGGCGCTTTGTCACCTTTCGAGCATAATTCAGAAAGGAATAGGCTTACTTCCTCAGCCTGCAGCCTCCAGTGCAGCAAAAGAGCACGCATCACAACCCAGGAGTGGGCGTGGGCGGTGGGGAGGTGCTAGGGTGACCAAATAACAAATGTCAAAAATCGGGACACTTTTTTGGGGGGTGGGAGGGGGAATATAGTTGCCTATATTAGACAGAGCCCCTAATACTGCAACAGTGCCTATAATATCGAGATGTCTGGTCTCCCTAGGAGGTGCGTGAAGGTGGCTAGTCACCTTTGTGTTCTCCTGATCTTCCTGTGCCTGTGATGCACTGGGCCAGTCTCTGGTATTAGCTTGACATCTGCTGGGTATCAACAGTAGCCAGGGATCAGTGAAGCATAGGGATGTTCCAGCCACAGTCCCTCCCCAATCTACTGCCCCTACTCCAGCTATAGGGGGGATGGCATATAAGTTGCTATGCCGGCTCTGTGCCACCGAGGGATCCTCCTGCAACCAGCTACTCCAACTCTAGGGCCTTTTTGCACCCTCATATCTGGTATTCAGAAGGCAAAACAGTGATTTGTCTTCCAGCCACTGAATATGCAGAAGGTAATTAAAACCAATGAAGCTGACCATGTTACCTTTGGGACCTACTATCATTATGATCATTCTGCCTGTAAAATAACTCAATGAATAGCACAGGCAGGTGGGGAGGAATTAAGTTTCAGTGCCCTTTCTCCCCTTGTACCTGCAGCTGAGCCAAAGGCCCACAGTGGAAGAGCTGCGTGAGAAAAAGATCCTCATCCGCTTCAGTGACTACGTGGAAGTGGCAGATGCTCAGGACTATGACAGGAGGGCGGACAAACCCTGGACGCGACTCTCAGCCGCCGACAAAGTAAGCCCAATGAGCTTAGGATCCAGTAGCAGCTGTGTATTGATCACAAGGTTCAGTAATGCTGGTGTGACACGACACTGTGAACAAGGGCCTAACCTCAATTCAGTCTCCTTCCAAAGGTGGCGAGGGGAAAGGCTATAATGCCTGGTCTGCCCACAGATTTTGTACCTGCCTAACTATGCTGGTTAGGAATGTGATCGTAATTAATATAGTTATGCCAGAACATTCCCTAGCGTGGATGCAGATATACCTATATAAAGGTGCTTTATATCAGCATAACTTATTTATTCCCCTTCCTATACAGGAATAAACTATGCTGGTGTAACCTCTTTTATACTGGCATATAACTGCATCAATACTAGAAGGATTGTACTGCTTTATCTATACCTGTAGAGTTAAAATAGTATGGCTTTTGTATGTAGACAAGGCCTAAGAGCGGCCGGCTGGAAGGTAGAGAGTGAAATGCCTTTGGGAGGGTACTGACCATCCAGAGTTGCAGGGCTGTATTGAATCCCAAGCTGATGAGTTTTCTATTCCTTTTCTGCTGATGTTAATGTATTTTGTTTTCTTGTTGTAAATGTTAAGCCTCATTTGCCAATCCCGGTAAACCAGGACTAATCCCAGTGAAATCAATGGAGTTACACTGGCATAAAATCAGCATTAGAGGGGAATCAGGATCTCTGAGGAAGAGACCTTGCTGACTGCCCTTGTATTTGTGCGTGTGTGTTGGTTGGTTGCGCTGAATAATTCTACCAGTTTATGGGTGGGGAGCTCCTACAAGCAAGGTTGCACATGATACCTGGAGACAGAATTAATGAACCAGTACCGCAGTGGCACTCACTAAAACTGTAGTCACATAATTAATCAATCCTTGGGTGCAAAATGTCAGTTGATAAAATTGTCAAAAGCACCTGTCCAATAGAAAGCCACTGGGTCTCAGTTGCTTTTGAAAATTTTACCCAGTATCTTTATCTTAAGATAGGAGGGATAGAACATGATTTTGGATCACTTGATGATTGCCCTGTTCTATTCATTCCCTTTGAAGCATCTGGCATTGGCCACTGCCATAAGACAGGATACTGGGCTAGATGAACTATTGGTCTGACCCAGTATGGCTGTTCTTATGTTATGTTCTTTCCTGCTCCCCAAAAGTTTTTTAAAAACCTAATTATTGTCTTATGTGCCATATATATTGGGAAAAGCAGTTCTCTGTATCAAGTGCACCTTTTTTTGAGTGTTAGTGGAGTCTGGCACATCAGTTATTCCTATATCCCACCACAGACTCAATGTGGTGGTAGAAATCAGCAGCAAAGGGCTTACTGCCCTGACATTATATAAATAACACTGAGGTTGCAGAAAGAAGGTGGACTGTATTCACACTTCAGGCTGTTTCCACTTGTTTCTTTGTCCTACTATGTAGAGTGCAATGTCTGTCTCAAGCAGAGACAAGGTGATAGCGTCCACAAAGTGAGACAGAGAAATTTAAACTTGTTATTGCCGTTCTCAAGACAGACAAGACTATGGGCCTGAGAAATGTTACACCCACTCTTTGGCCCCTTTACATTGCCACTGTGATTTAAAGGGTCCATAGTTTAAATGGAAATCAGGATCTAAATTTTTTTTTAATGTGGAACTGTGTCAGCCCAGCATGTTACCACCAGGCTGTGTAGTCCAGTAGACAGGAAATAAAACTGGGAGCCCTGATTTCTATTCCTGACCCTACAGCTGACTAACTGTACAATTAAGGCTTGTCTACACAGGCATGTGTTAGCAGTTATACCAGTATAGCTAAACCAGGGGGTCGACCTAAGATACGCAACTTCAGCTACGTGAATAGCGTAGCTGAAGTGGCGTATTTTAGGTCGACTTACCTGGCTGTGAGGACGGCGGCAAGTCGACTGCTGCCGCGCCGCCGTCGACTCCACTACCGCCTCTTGCCGCGGTGGATTTCCGGAGTCGACGGTAGAGCCATCAGGGATCGATTTTATCACGTCTTCACTAGACGCGGTAAGTCGATCCCCGATAGACTGATTGCTACCCGCCGGATCGGCGGGTAGTGAAGACGTAGCCTTATTCTAGTACAAGAGTGGCTTTCTTCAGTTTAGCTTTAATCCCTTGCAAAGCAATGAAAACCAAACCAAAAAAAGCCTTTACTTATTCCAGAATAAGACTGTCCGTCCTGGGCATTATGTTGAGATAACTATAACAGTTTCAATTCACATCTTGGCTTATACTAATATAACTTTCCTTTGTGGACAAGCCCCCTTAGTCAAGTAACTCAACCAATCTGTACGTTATTTTTCCTCATCTATAAAATGGAGATAATAATGCCTGTCCAGCTTTGTAAAGTGTTTGTAGATCTCTGACTGAAAAGTAGTATAAAAGTGCTAAGTACCAGTATTAAAAAGAAAGTAAATATGGGAGGGAAATGGAGCTTGGACCCTTATTTATGGTGTATGTTGAAGGCCAGTCTGTATCACTGAGTTCTGGCAGTCGCTGATCAAGACCTCCAGCAAAACAGAGGAAACAAGGCTTGATATTCCTTCTGCATGTATAAGGGAGCAAAAAAAGTGCACAAATGTATTTTTCCCACTTGAGGTCAGGTCCTATGGAAAATATCCCGATTGCTGGCATCTGCAATGCCTGCTTTTCCACATCCATCATTTACACCATTTAAACAAAAAATAGAAAAACAAATTGAAACCATCTCTGACAAAACCAAAACTCCCTTATTGAAGATTATTCCCCTCCACAGCTACTATTCAATAACTTTCTGTCTTCACGGGCCAGGGCGAAGATTTATTGCAAAAATATATTTTTCTAATGGATTTTCTGTTTGTCAAATTAATCTTGCTCTCCATGTTCTGGATGTGCAGAATTGTGTTCAGTCTGACTTCATCTTTACCAACTGTAATGGTTTGAGGAATAAAAAGGGCATGTTAAGATCTCACCAATAGATCAGGAATCCATGGGGTAATCGATTTCAGACCTTGAGGGAGCCGCCTGTGTGGCCCTTCACAGTCACTTAGGCAGCAAATCGGTCTGCTGAGGGCAGACCCTTGAGCTGCTACATAAACAGTCAGTCTTTTCAGTGATAGATAAGGCACAGCCTGACAGTCATTTCCAAAGTAAATAAAACAACAGTGCTGTATGTAAAGCGCACAAAGGGCCCAGTTCTGCAGCTCATGCAAAGAGTCCTTGTCAGAGGCAGTGCTGGCCCATTGGGGGCCCTCAGCAGGAATATTTTGGGGCCCCCTTAAGCTGCTCGGAGCCCTAAGCAATTGTTAGGCTATGTCTACACTGCACACCTTACAATGGCACAGCTGTGCCTCTGCAGCCGCACCGGTGCGATGTGTGCTGTGTAGCCACTCTTTGTCGCTCTCCCGGCGACAAAATAAAACCACCTCCAATGAGGGGCGGTAGCTTCGTTGTCGGAAGCGCGGCTCCTGCCGACGAAGCGCTGTCCACACCGGCGCTGTTCGTCCTTAAAACTTTTGTCATTTAGGGGGGCGGTTGTTTTCACACCCCTGAGCAACGAAAGTTTTAACGACGAAAGTGCCAGTGTAGACATAGCCTTAGTCTGCTTACGCCTAGCATCTGCTCTGGTCTAGATGAAGGCAGTTTGCTCTTGGATAAATCACACTGGCACATATCCCGTTTTGCACTGATGTAATTTATCTGTATTAGGAGGTTATACCAGTGCAGATTTCCTTAGACATAGCCCCTCCTCCCATGAGTAGCACTTACCGGTGGGACTACTCACATGAGTAAAAGGTTTCATAATTAGGCAGTAAGGTAGAAGCATAAACTGATAAGACCAGCGGGGGGGGGGAGCGGAGTCAAAGGTTTTTCGATCTTGGGCTAGACCATCAACAGTGAGACTGCTTGGAGGCTAGACATTCTTCAATCTGGGCCCAGTCCTGACCCCCGGAAGTTGCAGGATTGAGACTTTAGTGATTTGGGTGACATACTATCCAGTTATTCTAGCTATTTTAGAGTTTGGTGCTATTTCCGTTGCTTAGTGCCATCTCCTGCTGGCAGGGCCGGCTCCAGGCACCAGCTTATCAAGCAGGTGCTTGGAGCGGCCACTTCGGAGGGGGCAGCACGTCCAGCTGTTCGGCGGCAATTCGGCGGACGGTCCCTCACTCCTGCTCGGAGCGAAGGACCTCCTGCCGAATTGCCGCCGCAGATCGCGATCGCGGCTTTTTTTGTTTTGTTTTTTTTTTGTTTGGCTGCTTGGGGCGGCCAAAACCCTGGAGCCGGCCCTGCCTGCTGGGAGTTCTTTTTGCAGAAAGAATATTGTTTTAAATAAATAACGAAGCAATCCAAACTGTAAGATGTGTTGGGTTCCAGGATCATCAAGCCTCATTGAAAGTCAGTGGGACTTAGGAACTTTTGAATATGTTTCCTTGTGCCACAGTTGCCCATGCCTTTGGCACGTCTACACTGGAAACTGCTATGTGCTCTACGTAGGCCCACCCTTGCAGATCACTCTGAATTTTCTGCTAGTGCAGAATGCGGCCATCTGCCTGTTAAGCAACAGGCCAATGTGAGCATTTGGCACTCACGCTTTTTGCCCTGCACTGGCTTCCAGTCTGCTGTGGGTGCTGCAATTCAAGGTGCTGGCATTTCTTACTTCTTACTTATGTGCCCTGCTGCAGCAGTTCTGTTTGACAGGAATGGTCTTGCTGCCTCTCCCAGAGGTTGACTTAATACGGATAAGCAGCAGGGCATTCTGTGTGACAGGCACTCCGCTCTGGTACTCTCTCCCTTATGGTCAGGCATAGCCCAAGTTTGGCAGCCATTCATCTGTTCCATATGGCTTTTTGTTCATTTTGCTTTTGCAACATATATGTGCACTCATTTGGGGGTATTTGAGGGACCAGAACTAGGACCTATGTCAGCATTGTTTACAAATAACCTCCCCTTCGAATAGATACAGCTCACTGAAACATTCTTCTGCTCTTGTCTTCATGTGATTTTTAGATCGGGTTTCTCTCTCTTTTTTTATAAGAAATATTTTAAAGAGCCTTGTATATGCTTTCTCCTCTACCTATGAGAACATCGTTTATGGCCTCTTTCGTGCTTGTTAAGCAAATATACCATTTTGAATAAAAAGTGAGCTTATTTTGTTCTCTTTTATTTGCATATTTACTGGTTTCTTTGTCATTTGCAGGCAGCCATTCGAAAAGAGCTCAATGAATTTAAAAGCACTGAAATGGAGGTTCATGAATTAAGCAAGCATCTAACAAGGTTGGATGAGACTTTTCTGTTTTGTTTGTTTGTTTTGTTTGTTTTAAGATTAACAATTAATAGTGCTGATTTCCAAAACATATAGGCATCCTCTTTCCCAAACATGTACACACCAAATACATAGCCACACACAAACAGCATTCACAATCAACCCACCACTCAAGACATATGCCCAGAGGTGAAAGTAAGCCGGTATGCCCCGGTACGGTGTACTGGCAAGAGTCAGTGCGCTGTACCGGGGCGGCCTGGCTTCCCCAGGTGGCAATTAAAGGGCCTGGGGCTCCCAGCAGCAGCTGGAGCCCCAGGCCCTTTAAATTGCCACCAGAGCCCCGATGCTGGAGCCCTGGGGTAGCGGCAGCGGGGCTCTGGGGGTTATTTAAAGGGCCGGGTCTCCCCAGGGCTCCAGCAGCAGGGCTCCAGGGGCTATTTAAAGGGTCGGGGCGGTAGAAGCAGGGGAGTCCTGGGCCCTTTAAATAGCCCCCGGAGCCCTGGAGTAGCGGCGGGGCTCCGGCAGCTATTTAAAGGGCCCGGGGCTCCCGCTGCCTCTATGGCCCCGGCCCTTTAAATAGCCCCCGGAGCCCCGGGGCGGTAGAGGCAGGGGAGCTCTGGGCCCTTTAAATAGCCCCCAGAACCCCGCTGCCGGAGCCCTGGGATAGCAGTGGCAGCCGGGGGCTCCGGCAGCGATTAAAAGGGCCCGGGACGGTAGCGGTGGCCAAGCCCTGGGCCCTTTAAACTGCTGCCGGAGCCCCCAGCTGCCGCTGCTACCCCAGCGGGGGATGGAGAGGGCACTTACAGGGCACTTACAAGGCGGGCTGGGGCTGGCTCTGACTCCCCACATCCCCACCCCTTCCACCCGAGGACCCGCCCCTTCCGGGGGCCAGAGCCGGCCCCAACGCAGCCCCGTACAGGTAAGTCCCTATTTCTACTTTCACCCCTGCATACGCCCATCAAGATTACAGGCTTGTATGCAGTTGTGTGTCATTTCTGTAACAATATTTAATCTCTTTTTTTATTTTGCTTGTTTAGCAGGCTGGTCATTTTGCATTTCACTTGTTCTGGTATCTAACATAAATGGTGGTTGTGGCTGGAAGGAAAAGGAAAACAGAAAGGTTATAACAGCATTTCCTGTTGCAGAGCTCATACATTGTAGGATGCTAATGCACTACAATGGGAACACAAATCATATAGAATGCTCAGGTTATTCTATTACTGTGTTTCAGTTCTTTCCATAGGCAATTTAGGAGGAAATATCAAACTCAGCGTTAAAACTGGCACCCGTTCATATCCTTGTAGGCAGTGCGGGCAGAAAAGCCCTGTACTGAATGAGCCAGGAGCCTGAACTAACACGCTCATCCATAACAATTCAGGGTTGAGGCACATTGGTGGATTGGGAAGATTGCCTTACCATTGTCCATGCTGCTTCTATTCTGTAATTTTCAGAGGTGTTAAGTCCCTGGAAGTCCAGCTGAAGTCAATGAGAGCTGCAGGTGCTCAGCACCTCTGAAAATCAGGCTCTCTGTGGTTAGTAAAGTCCTACACTAGATTCACTTACATTTATTTTTCATAGATTTTTTTTTTCAAATAACAATTGTAGGAATTCATTTCAAGAAAGAGAGGTCTCATACAAATCTCTTTTAGTTAGTACTTAGGAATGCCCTGGAAAAGCATAAGGCTGAATTAATTTTGCATCATGTGGATCTTTATTTACATTTACATACATTATAATTGTGTTAAAATTGTTGCATAGTTTATGCACACATTCATTTGCAGAAATGATCCACCAGCTAGCACCACGTTAACCGTCATATTTAAAGATGTGGAAAAAGGAGTCAAATAGTAACAAATAAGAATGTACGTGTGTGTTGTCTGGCTATGCCGAAAGAAGGAGAGGAGACATTTGACATGGGTTTAATCAGGCTACGACTTTATTATTAGATGTCTGAGACTACCTGGTAGATAACAGTGTACAGTCCAGGTAACCCCATGTTTATTCTGTAATTACCCGGGGAGCTTTTACCAGCTCCCCCTCTTTTTCCCTCCAGGTCCCTCCAGCAAATCCATGTCCGGGACCTTACCATCCACCCCCCACCCCCTCGTGGGAGGGTTAAGGTGGGCTATAATGGGAGGTTGGCTCCCTGCCGTACCAATCATAGGAGTCCCCAACCACTCCCTATTCGTTCCTTTAATGAACACCTCTTTTTAAGTCCTTTTCCAAGCCATTTATCCAGTCACTGTATACCTTTCCTATGGAGTACCTGCACTGGACATCCACCCTACACTTAAATAATGAGTTGTGACATATAGCCTACCGCCCATCACGCCATGCATGAATAGGCTCCTTCCTGAAACCCACTGTGGGGAAGGTGAAAAAAAACCCAACTGCACCCAAGCCAATATGGTGGTAAGGGAAATATTCCTTCCCAGTCCCCCTAAAAAAGGGGTGGCTAGCATAATGCCCACAGCAGGTGTTGACCAAACCTGGTATTTTACCACCTAAAAGGGAGGGAGGGTGGGTCCTGCTTCAGCCTTGGTCCGTGTAAAAAGGAAGGCTTCAGGTGCTGAGCTGCCCCTTTGAAACTCTGCCATTCCCAGGGGATGAGTCAGCAACCACGCTGACCCCTTTTTGCAGCAGTTTTCATCTCCCCCCTCCCCCCACCAGCCATAAAGCACTGTTCCCTTCATTCGGCGGGCCAGCCAGCCAAACACCCCCCGCTTAAAGGTGCAGGACAGTCATTTGCAAGAGACAAGCAGCTGTCTTTGAAGCATGAAATCTTAGGCCAGTTCCAGTTTAGTACTTGCACACAACGGTCCATAATCATCTCTGACCTACTCTTTTGACCTCTCAATGGATTTACACTAGAGTTGAGTTTGTCCTGCTAAATTCAGCCTCCAGATGTGAGATACCTGTAACTGGTTACGGTTCTAACTGGTGCTAAGCACTCTCAGCTTCCATTGAGTGCTCAACAACTCACAAGATCAGGCATTAAGTCTAGAAGCATGTGGCTTGATCTACACCTAAAACTTAGGTTCACCTAGGTACATCGCTCAGACTTGTGAAAAATTTCTAACCCCCAGTGTAGACACATCTAGATCAGAAGAAGGATTCTACTATCCAGCTACTGCTTCTTGAGGGGGTGGATTTACTACAGCGTGGGAAAACCCCTTCCATCGCTGTAGTAAGTGTTTACGCTACAGAACTACAATGGCACAGCGGCAGCGCACTGGAGTGCAGACATACCTGTGAAACTTAGCAATTTTAGTTTGCGGGGTGTCTGCGTGAGCCTTCTTTCAGTTTGGTTCATGTGGGTTTGCATCCAGAATTTTGCTTTATTTCCAAATCTTGAGGAGACCATTCATCTGAAATCTCTTGAATTTTGTCTGATTTCCATTTCAATCCATAAGCTGCTTCTGATTCATTCAAATCTGGCCCTGGGCTCACTGCAAGCTAAGCCCAGCATACTTGAAGCTGGAGAAAGGTTCATCTAAAGTTCAACAGGGTTGTTGGAGCTGTTTGTCTAACCAAAAAATATCCACATAAATGAAACACACTTACATGAAAGAGAGTAATTCTCTTAAACTCAGATAAGTCACCATTATAAAATCATTAACAGGGTAATGATCTATTTTTGTCATTAGGATAGTGACACATATGCTGGGTAAAGGATATGAGTGTTGCTCTTCTAGAGGGATGGATACTTTAGCTGATGATAGAGTTAAAGACCAACACTTAAAAAAAACAAACATACATGACTGGAAACAAAAGCCTCTGGATACATTGCAAAACAGTCCCTGCAGAGAAGCTGCACATTTAACTTCAAATGTCTCTTTAAACTTAAACGTTCATGAATAATAATTAAGGCTGTGAGTTTGTCGTGGATTTCGTGACTTTCTGGGACTTCTGCAGTGCCCGGTGCAGCTGGCCCAGGGGCTGCCTGAGCTGCTCAGGCAGCCCCTGTGCCAGCCGCACCAGCCGCTGCTGGGGCAGTCTTGGGCCACCGCGCCCCCAGCAGCAGCAGGAGTTTGGGTGTTCGAGGGGGCTCAGGGCTGGGGGTTGGGGCATAGGAGAGGGTGAAGGCTCTGGGCGGTACTTGCCTTGTGGGGGGGCTCCCCGGAAGTGGCGACATCCCTCAGCTCCTAGGCAGAGGTGTGGCCAGGCAGCTCTGCATGCTGCCACTGCCTGCAGACACCGCCCGCAGCTCCCACTGGCCACAGTTCCCAGCCAATGGGAGCTGCGGAGCCGGCACTCGGGGCAGAGGCAGTGTGCAGAGTGCCTGGCCACGCCTCCGCCTAGGAGTTGAGGGAGGAGGATGTCGCCTCTTCCGGGGAGGCACGAAGCCAGACAGGAAGCCTGCCAGCCCCGCCAACTTCCCCCCCCCCGAGCACCAGCAGGGGTCCTGGGCCACCCGACCCCAGCACCCGTGGCCCCCAGGATTTAGTCAGGGGTATATAGTACAAGTCATGGACAGGTCATGGGCTGTGAATTTTTGTTTACTACCCGTAACCTGTCCATGACTTACTAAAAATACCCATGACTAAAATATAGCCTTAATAATACTTTGAATTTATGTCAAGTCTATTAAGATCTGAGGGCTTGCCTGCAAATGAAAATTATTCTGGAGTAAGGTAGGCCGTGAATTTAAAGTGGAATAGCTATTTTGGAATAACTACGTGTCAACACTCTTATTCTGGAATAAGAGTGTCCACAATGAGGAGTTATTCTGGAATAGCTATTCTGGAATAATTGGTGTGTAAACAGGCCCTAAAGTTCTGATCCAAAAACACTCATTGACTTCAGTGGGCTTTGGATCAGGCCCTGAAAGCCTTACAACAACTTGGTGAGTTTGGTAAGTCTTAATGTTGCTAAACCCATTTTTTCAGATAGATAAATTGAGGAACAGGGAAGTTTAAATGACTTTTCCAAGGTCACATAGTGAGTCAGTAGCTGAGCTGAAAACAGAGCCCAGGAATCCTGGTGTCCAATGCCGTTGCCCTAAACCATTTAAATAATGCCACCTCTTTGGTGACATATAATATGTATGTGAGAACAAGCTTGTTGCAAAGTATTGAATTTTTCATTCATCCTGTCTCTTTTAGGTTTCATAGACCGTAGCAGTTCAATTCTACTTGACTACTATGCCATCTTTAAAACCTAACTAAAAAGAACCGTAAGTGCTGGTATTATTCACTTCCTGTTGCGTACAATGTAAATCTTCTGAACTGCCTTTTTAAAATAATTAAATTAAAGAGATAAATGAAAATAAAGGGGGGGAGAAGCAAAAATGGAAATTGTACTTACATGTGATGGGTACTGCTACATCATCAGACCTGCTGGCACAAGCTTCGATAATAGAAAATACCCCTGGTGGGAATCATACCAAGAGCTGGCATCTATGTTTATGACTTCCTGGCATGTGGATTCACCATATTTGTCCAAGCCCAACTGGTAATGCGTCCATTCTGTCTTCAGTCACCGCGCATCCTTGCAAGCATCTGTCGCCTGACTCCAAAGAAAGCTGAGGCACTTGGTGGTGTTCTGGGAATGACTGTGCTGGGTGAAGCCTCCAAGAGGCCTGCAGCCACGTTAAAGCACTTTTAGTCCAAACACTTCATTCAGTTTAGGAGCACCTTAGAAGGACAATGAGGGAGGAGAACTGCTCTCAGGACCTGCCCACTTTCCGAGTACAAAGAAATTCACTTTCCATGGAGGAGTTTGTGACTGGTTGATCATCACCATTTTGGTTCACAAGAACAAGAACAGCATTCCTTACTGAAGGGTGGTTTGGCTCAATCAACTTTTTGTTTTCCAAACCTAATTATGACTCCACAAACATTAAAAACAATAATATTGGTAAATAACAAGCGAAAGGCACTGCCTTGACCTTGTGTAGTCATTGGTACCTGTGCCTAGTGATCGTAAAGGCGTGTAGAGCACAATCAAATCAGAATAGCTGGGTTTTCCCTCCAGTTCACACAGGTGTAAGGCAGCAGTGACTCAGGTCCAAGGTCTGGATTCCAAGAAGGTATCCATGGGATATGTATTATTCTGTATGTCTGAAATTTTTAAAGGGCAGATTGGGCATGTACAGGCCTGCACTTCAATCATATTGAGAATAATCTTTTCTTGGTTCTGGTGTAGCAAAACGTGGGCCTCGTGTAACAAAAATATACTATTGTATTGTTATGGATGGCTCAGAATTGTCTGCAGTATTTAGAACCAAGGCAATAGGCAAAAACCCAGAGGCTTTTTTATACTGGCATGCTTTTATCTGTTAAAATGGCCACTTACAGCTCAGTACTACAAGGGGGTGATCACTCTAGCCCTGACCCAGCAAAGCAATTCAGTATGTGGTTAACTTTAATTAAACATGGGAGTAGTCACTTTGAAACCAATGAGATTATTCAGATGCTTAATTAAAGTCAAGCACGTGCTGAAGTGCTTTGCGGGATCAGGACCAGAGGGTTCAGCGCCTTGCAGCATCCAGCCCTGACACAATATAAACCTATCAAGCTGGAAACAAATGTCTGTGATTCCATCCCTTATGAGAAAATATACTGCTGCACTCTGTATAAATGGGCCAAAACGCTGAACTAACATTACTGTAAGTTGCAATGCTCTGGATCATGACTGTGGAATAATATCAAATGTTATTTTGCTTTTGAAAGTTTGTGCAGGGAGGCCTAGGTTTTCTATGACAACGGTAACCTTTGCAAGAGTTCACGTGCACACACAACCACTCACCCTTCCTCCTATTCTTCCCTGGAGTGCCCTGGTAATACAATACCCACCCCCTCCACCGATTTCAGATTAGCATCAGATTGAGGTTGCTTTAACAGGTGTATATTATGTGTCCAGTTATGTGCAGCACACGCTCAGCTCCTCTTGGACCTGTTTCTCATCCCACTTGCCCTGGTGTAAATCAGCAGCAACCCCATCTAACTCAGTGAAGTTACATTAGTATAAAGCCCACGTAAATTACATCAGAATAATGCCTATTGATTTCATTAAGGAACTGAGGCTGGTCAGAACCTGCCAGGATTGGGCTGTATCTGAGAAGAGTGGAAGCGTTTCAGTCTCATCTGAGATCACCCATGTGACTTATGAGTGAGCATTTGGGGAATATTGAATGTCTGTTACAGGGTGGAGGGCATTCAAAAGAAAGCAAAGAGCACCTCAGCCATTCCCACAGGAGCCAAAGTACTGACTGTTGCCCTTTTGCCTCATTTCTATTTGAGGTAATAGGTCTTTGAAGTTATTACCTAGCACTAGTTAGTGGTTTCACAACAGCCTAAAAATAAAGATGATTCCTGCATCCTCATCACACGCACAGGATATACTTACCTGGACTTGTCAAAAGAAAATAATAATCCCCATACACTCTGGGAGAAGATGATTTATCTTAGACAGAGGAAGCCCTGCCTTCTGTATAAATATGATCTGCCAGTGACGAGTTCTAACTGACTTGATTGCAGGACACTGCAGATTAAAGTTAGTGGGGAAGCACAATGCAGATCCTCAGACAAGAGTTCACCAGCAGTGAGAACCTGATGTTCAACGTTATCAGCACAGTGCAGGAACAGCAGAGCAGCTATCCGCCTAGCACATATTGCTGCAGGGTTTTTTCCCTGAAACCACAGGTGTGCATATTATTAAATTCACTCTCACACATGGCTTGAAAGAAGAAAACAAAGGTCTTGGCATTTGTATGTGCACATTGCATTATGAAATGGCCTGGTAACATGGCTGCTTCAAACAGCTGCAAGCCCCGGGATTCAGAATGTGACCTCCCACGGCTGCCCACATGTCCTGGCATCTCTGCCTGGTTGTCTGAGGTTAAGTCAGATGGGAGGGCTGAGGAAGCAGTAGCGACAGAAATCAGAGTATTCAGAACTTGTGTGTTGGTGGGAGGCACTAAGGAATGGAACGGGTGGATTTGGGTTTCTTGTTAAACAGGAGGAATGAGAGGCTGAGATAAGGGGATAGGCATCAAGCTGTTGCTATCACTGCAGACTTCTCAGGCAACACTAAGCCGCTGGTGGAGGAGCGCACACAGGAAATGCCACTGTAGCAATACAACCTGTCCCTTGTGTGTCAGGGCCATGTCGCAACCCCCGGTACACCTGCAGGTCAGGCAGCCGGACTGAACTGGCCCTGCTCAGTGGTTTTCTAGTTTACCCAGAGCGAGGTCTCTACTGTATGGTCACAATATTGCACGCTACCCTGTGGCTGGAGATAAGGAATAAAGCCAGATCCCACTGAACTCCCAGGAAGTTTTTTTCAGGATTTGCTCGGCACTGAGACAAGATGTGGAAGGCGCTTGAGGTATTCTTCCATTTGCCTGACATTCTAGCAGAAGACATTGCAGTTCCGCTCTGATCTGAAACAGTGGAACTGCCATATTTCTCATGAGCTGCAGCTACAGCACATTGCGGGGGAATCCAGGTGAAATGCCCAGCGTAGCAGCATCAGTCCATGCTACACAGCTGGCATTTCTTCTCCCCCAAGCCTAAGGATGTTTGGGTGTTTAGCAGGAGTTATGCCCTGACAAGGCATCTTCCTGAAAGGTGACTTGTTGGTGACTGAACACTGCATTGTGCCCTCAGTTTACTTACATCACTCCGATTGACATTCATGGAAGTTTAAGAGAAAAATGAGGACAGACTATTTTTTTTTTAAATCTATTTTCTGCAGAAGTGCAAATGCTTTTCCCATCAAATACTCTGCTAAAGCCATGTCCACTGAGTTACTGTACTTGGGATTCCATCTGAAACAAGGAGTGAGCTTTTCTTAAAAAAAAATTGGCCAAGCTAATAATAAAGCAGATAATTTTTCTACTGAACGCTCAGTTATCAGCAATGAGTTTCATTTGTATTAGAAGGATTTATAATCATAATAGCACACAATTCACTTTAACCGGCTTAAAGAAACAAAACTAGGTTGATGAGAGCAAAATTTTCATCTACTCATCATTGATTGCTAAAAACTATGTGGAGGAAAAAATGCCAATGGTGAAAAAGAAAATATATTGGTAATAATCTAATGAATCAATGTTAATACTTACAAGGTGTAATGCAACATCTGCTCTAGAACTTATGGAAATATTAGTGGAAAATTGAAGGGGAAAAAACAAGGAGTTGTGGTAAAAATAATCATAAAACTTCTAATTAAATGTTTTGCTTAGTTTGAGAAAGTGACACAAACTACTGAGAAGTGATGGTGACGTCTATTCCTCCACCTCCAGGCCGGAAATCGTGTAAAATAGAGCTGAGTGAACTATTCATAGTGAACAATGTACTGTGCATTATCCATTTCAGATCGGAGTAGGTTTCAGGGTATATATAAACTCTTTGGGGCAGGGCCTGTTGTGCATCTGGTGCCTAGGACACGCTACCAGGAAAAATAGTGAATAATAATAATAAGCTTCTATTTTTACTAATTTATTTATTTGTAGTTGTTCAATGAACCCTTGAGAGGTTGCAACCTCAGAGTTACATGCAAGCACTTCACTTTGTCATTGACTATTCTCTCTTCATCAGGTGTGATTGGTCACCTGAATAACATGTTACTGCTTCTGCATGCCGACTGGACAGCTGAAACTTTATAAACCGGAGGAGAGCACTTCCAAAAATGACCAGCAAATACTTACATTCACACACACATACCCAGGTTCACATGCAAATAGGGTTATGACACGCAGAACATCCATCCCCCAATGTTCCTTCAAATAAACCCACTTTGTACAAATATCCATGGAAGAAAAGGATGAAAACTTGGCCAACAGAAATGGTTACAAATGATCTTTCCCACTGCTCACCCAGCTCTAATTTAGTATCACTTCTATAAAAACAAAGTATGTGAAGGGTACATTAACTGCTTTTCCATGCGTCTCACATACTCCAGAACCAGTTGCATTTTCCAGCTGATATCCAAGTGTATGTACATAGTTTGTCTTTGTATAGGAGTGAATGTGGTGACTGTCAATCATGTGCTCTTCCAGTATTGTAATTTAACAGATTATGACTGTATGAAAACCATGTAAATAACTAGAAGAAAAAGTAAACTGGATCTCTATGTCCTAGATTTTGTACATACTGAAACTGCATGGTATTTAAATTATTGTTTGTCTCTGATGTATGCAGTTTCTTTAAAAAAAATCATTTTAAAAAAACCTTTCCTGGTCTTGTGTATTTTATTCACCTCCTGTTATATTCTTTGCCAGATACTGCAAAAAAAAAAAATGTACTTTAAGTTACCAGCCCTGCTATGTGAGGTGTTGAGTGCTTACAACCCCAGTGTTAGGCCTGTAAGGGAAAAATGATTGTAATCAGGATGACAGATCCTCAGAGGGTGTAAATTGGCATGGCCCTACTGACTTCAGTGGAGCTATGCCAGTTTACAACAGCTGAGGATCTAGTCCACCATCTCTGGGAAGGCTCAGCAAAGAAAACTGAAGGAGATTGGCTGTTCACTCTGCAGCTACAATTGTCCCAAACACCAAGCTAGTAAACATTGGTCTTCACTGCAGAAAAATCCCTCTCAGCATGTTTTTTGCTTTCCTTCGAGTGCCCTTTACAGGAGTCACATCTGTAGTGGTCTCCCCGTTCTGGAAATCTCACAGGCACAGAAGTTTTGTGGATAGTGTTAGAGCAGATTTTGATCAGACAAGCGCAATCAGCAACAAAGGCCCATTACAATTTAGCAAAAGCCACAGGAAGAGAAATACTCATTCAGGCTCTTGCAAACAAAGGGCTTCTGCTCCTCTTTTTTCTTTTCTCCAAGTGCCTTTATTCTTTATAAAGGTTGCCAGCTTAACAGCACTGCAGAGTGAAATTTCCTATCCCTGAAGGGAGAACAGCTTGAGGTGCTGAAGTACAAGCTTCCCCACACTCCACTATTAATATTCTTCTCTACACAGACAGATGTGACGGTAACACCCCCACCATGCCCATGCGGTCCAGGGTAATTTGTGATGTGAACTAGTGTCCCCAGAGAGCTGGGCTAAAACCATCAAGGATAAAATCCACAAAGGTATTTAGGAGCTAAACCACCACTTTGTGCCCCTGAGATTCTTAAAGCCCCTGTTCAGTTGCTGCCTAACCCTCTAGGCACCTAAATGTCTGCTAGTAAAATCCCTTAGTTGCCTCAGTTTCCGCCAGTGAGCATACACAAAACTGCCTAAATCCTGATGACACCAAGCTTCTTGGTACTGTAGCAGGATGCCTAAGACCTGGTTGGATTCTCAGACTAGGTGTTTCCCTGCCAATCTTGCCTGCAGAGCCTGATCCAGTAGGCATTCTCTGAGCATGCCTCACCAGCACAAA